GAGCCCTGTCTTTTCTTGGAGAGTCCTAGTGACTTCAGTGTCCACCCTTGAAGTTAGATAAAGAGTTAACATGAGTGGGTGCCTCCAACCTATTGCAGGATTAGAAGGACAGGGACAGACAATGCAGTTCCTACCACAAAGGCACGGATTACAAATCTGAGGTTAGATGTCAGGCCACTAAGAGAATCTTTTTTTAAAAAAAATATATTTTATTGATTTTTTTTTTTTTCAGAAAGGAGGGGAGAGGGATAGAGAGTAAGAAACATCAATGAGAGAGAAACATCGATCAGCTGCCTCCTGCACACCCCCTACTGGGGATGTGCCTGCAACCAAGGTACATGCCCTTGACCGGAATCGAACCTGGGACCCTTCAGTCCACAGGCCGACGCTCTATCCACTGAGCCAAACTGGTTAAGAGAATCTTAACTGAATAATGCTTTGAGGTCAATAAAAATCATTGTTTGAATCATTCTTTAAGCTGTGGTTGGACCCTGTATTATACAAAGAAAATAAAAGAGTAAGGCAAATTTTTTCTTATTTGTAAGCAACAAAATCTGTTTAGCCTGTGATTCAAGGTACATGATTTGCTTCACTCCTTACTAGAATATTTAAAGGTCACAAAGTCCATTTGAAGTAAATAAAATGTAAAAAAAAAAAAAAAAGTGTTTTTTGAGTTTTTAAAAAAATTGCCTTAGGTTTAGGGAGAGTGCTTTTGTGTGTTCCACCTTTTGGTTAAAATGAAAACTGACCTTCGTTTTCTAAATATTAGTCATCCTAATTTTCATTTTAAAACAGTACCAAAAGCACAAGGGGAAAAAACAAAGCCATTCACAGATGCCAGCTTCCTGGGCCGCTAAGAACCAGAGGAGAAGCAACCTGGGTGTGTTTCCCCGTCTCTGCTAGACCGTTAAATTTTCATCCATATTTAACAAATGTCGTTACTCAGTTTCATGGGGTCACTGTGTCAAAATGTCTGTGTTAGAACTTTAATTTATCTCCCGAGCTTCCTTGAAGTGGGCAGGAAGCGTGGCACCCTGGATTGATTTACTCTTTAATCCCCACCCTGGAGGGGTGTGCCGCTCCGAACTTCTTCGGAGATGTGTTCTTAAAAATTAGAATCTGCCAGCTCCTGCTCTTCACCTCTCCCCCCCCCCCCCCCCGCCGAGCTCCTGCTCTTCCCCTCTCCCCCCCACCCCCCCCACCAGCTGGTTGTCTTTCCAAAAGTGGGCTCTTGGCGTTCCGTCTCCGGGTGGCAGCGGCCGCTCCTCCGGGGGTGCCCTTCACCAGATGGCCCTCTTCATAAATGCTCACCTCACCTTCTTGATTCAAATGTGAAATGCCAGCAAATAAAGAGGAGCATTGTGTTCTGATGGGCTCTCTGGAGATGGAGCGGGGCCCTGGGGAGAGGAAGCCAGAAACAGCTTTTCTGTTTGCTGTGATTGCTCCTAATTACCACCGGCCAGTAGATAGAAGACAGTGTTTAGATAATATAACACTTCAAGGCATGGAGAGGTAAAGGGAAGGAGGGAGGGAGAGAGAGAAACACAAAGTCTCCAAATTATTGCAGATGCCTCTAAGGACATGGAAATACTCCTGGCTTGTTGGAGTCCATTTGAAATATTGCACGTGGTCTTTGCGAGACTGCCCCAGCCCCTGGCCCCGGGGTAGGCGCTGGCCCCGTGCGGCTCTCCCCGCCAGACTAAAGGTGCGAGGGAAATGAGCGGGTAAGGAGAACAGAGCAGCCAGCTCTCTAATTGAATTAAAAGCTGGTGACATCAGTGCAGACACCTGTCCAATTACAGACAGGCCAAGGTGTTTACCGTTGCCATACAAGCCATTCGGAGATGACAGGAGTCTTTCCGCCCACAGATTAGCATAATGAAGGAGAACAGATTACAGTGGATGCTGGCCAGACACCCGGGGTGGCAGCTGGGGGTGGGCTGGGGG